GAGTGTGGTGGCAGGTGCCTATAATCCCAGCTACTTGGGAGGCTGAGCAGGAGACTTGCTTGAACCCGGGAGGTGGAAGTTGCAGTGAGCCAAGATGATGCCACTGCACTCCAGCCTGGTGACAGAGCAAGACTGCATCTCAAAACAACAACAACAACAAAAATCCACCTGGGGAGCTAAAAAGGTTACGTCCTGTATGATTTCAACATATGGGCCGGGCATAGTGGCTCACGCCTGTAATCCAAGCACTTTGGAGGCCAAGGCGGGCAGATCACCTGAGGTCGGGAGTTCAAGACCAGCCATGACCAACATGGTGAAACGCCATCTTTAAAAAAAAAAAAAAAAAAAAAAAAGATTTCAACATATGACGTTCCAGAAAAGGCAAATCTATGGAGACAGTAAAAAGATCAGTGGTTATCAAAGGGAGGAGGGAGCAGGAGAGATGAAAAGGGCAGGACTTCCAGGGCAGTGAAACTATTCCCTGTGACACTGTAATGGTAAATACGTGGTATTATACGTTTGTTAAAACCCATAGAATAGTACAACTCAGTGAGTCCTAATGTAATCTGCAGACTTCAGTTAGTAATAGTGTATCAATATTGGCTTATAAATTGTAGCAATTAACCTGTGGACTCTAGTTAATAACAGTGTATCAGCATTGGCTCATAAATTGTAGCAAATGCACCTCAATGCAAGATGTTAATAATAAGGGAAATTGGGGGGCAGGAGGTAGAGATAGAGGAGATATATGGGAACTGGCTGCTTTCCTGCTTCCTTTCTCTTTCTCTCTTTTTTCCTTCTCTCTTTCTTCCCTTCTCTTCTCTCTTTTCTTTTTTTTTTTTTTAGTAGCAGGGTCTCACTGTCGCCCAGGCGGGCATGCAGTGGCATGATCTCGGCTCACTGCAACCTCCGCCTCCTAGGTTCAAGCAATTCTCCTGCCTCAGCCTCCTGAGTAGCTGGGATTACAGGGCATGCCACCACACCTGGCTAATTTCTGTATTTTTGTTAGAGACAGAGTTTCACTATGTTGGCCAGTCTCGTCACAAACTCCTGATCTCAAGTGATCTGCCTGCCTTGGCGTGAGCCACTACACCCAGCCCTGTCTGTACCTTCTGCTCAATTTTTCTAAAAACCTAAAACTGCTAAAATAATTTTTTAAGTTTTTTTTTTTTTAGATAGAGACTTGCTCTGTCATCCACAGTGGAGTTCAGTAGTGCAGTTCCAGCTCACTGCAAACTCCACCTCTGGGTTCAAGTATTTCTCCTGCCTCAGCCTCCCAAGTAGCTGGGATTACAGGCGCCCACCGCCATGCCCAGCTAATTTTTAGTAGAGACAGGAATTCACCATGTTGGCCAGGCTGGTTTTGAACTCCTGACTTCAAGTGATCCACCCACCTCAGCCTCCCAAAGTGCTGGGATTACAGGCATGAGCCACAGCACCCGGCCGAAAAAAATCCTGACACCCAGATGACATCCTTGACCGTTTGAACCAGAATCTCTGAAGGTGGGACCTAGGCATGAGGATTTTTTTTAAAAGCTCCCTAGGAGATTTTAGAACAACCCTTTCAGACTGAATGGGGAATGAGGGGTGGCGGGGGGGTAGAGTAAAGGGGGCAGGCAGACTGCTGCGGGGAGTGGGTTTCCCAAGGAGGTAAATGGATATTGGCAAAGATTGCCTTAAAGGAGCAGGAGCGCCTGAGGGCATGGAGCATCTCGTCCTTGTGAAAGTTCCGGTGCCTTAGGCATGATCTCTCCTGGAGGCTGGTGGGGACCCAGTGAGAAGTTTAGCCAGGGCCCTCCTGTGCTGTAATTCTGCATCGATCTGGTTCCATTCCTCAGTGTAGACCTGTGTGCCACGTGTGTGTGTGTGTGTGCGTGTGCGTGTGTCAGGGAAACCAAAGCTCTGGGAATCAGAGTGCAGAGACCATTCGCCAACCTCAGGGACCACAGCTAGGACAAATCCTGACCAGTCCTGCTGGCGATGGGACACAGTAAGTCAGGCGGTAGCTGGGACCAAGGAGCCCATCCATGCAGAGGGCATCTGAGAGGAATACTACCCTGGTCTGTGGGACAGTGGCCTTCAGAAAGAAGGGGGACAGAGATTTGGTTTATATCAGCTGGGCGTGGTGGCTCACACCTGTAATCCCAGAACTTTGGGAGGCCGAGGCGGGTGAATGACTTGAGGTCAGGAGTTCGAGATCAGCCTGGCCAACATGGTGAAACCGTGTCTCTACTAAAAATACAAAAATTAGCCTGGCGTGGAGGCAGGCGCTTGTAATGCCAGCTACTCAGGAGGCTGCGGCAGGAGAATCGCTTGAACCTAGGAGGCAGAGGCTGCAGTGAGCAGAGATCGTGCCATTGCACTCCAGCCTGGGCAACAGAGCGAAACTCCGTCTCAAAAAAAAAAAAAAAGAAAAGAAAGAAAGATCACTTGGGCAGCCAGGGAGGGCATGGGCTAGAGTACCAAGGACCACGGCTAGGATAGGAGACCAGTGAGGAGCCGAGAGATGGCAAGGGCTGTGTGTGAGGGGCTCCTGTGGTGAGGAGGAAGTGGGAACAAGATGGGCTTATTGGTCTTGGTGTCTGGGGAGCTTCTGGCCACCAGCAGCCCTTCTGGAGAGGGCGTGGTGCAGCCCTTCACAGGAGCTTTGCAGGACCACCAGCAGGCAGGAGTAGCAGCTCTGGTCTGTTTCTCAGATGGAAAACCCGATCACCACGCCGGGCAGCCTGTAGCGTGGTCTCCCTCCTGGCCTTCAGCAGCTCTGCGGGACCTCATGCTTCACCCGGAGGGAAGCTCCCCAGCTGGGTTCATACTAGGCATGTAGGACATGCTGAGCCCGTGACCCCCAGGGCTGGGTCCGGGCAGCCTGGAGGCAGAAAGGTGTTTCCTTTTAAGGGTGTCATTTGCTGAGTGGTTACCACGTGCTGAGCACTGCACCAGGCGCTTGGTACAAGGACTTCATTTACTGTCACGAGAGCCTGAGATGCTGTGAAACACATTTGGTTTTCGACCCCATTTCCCGGCATAGGACTCCTAAAATCCTTAGCCTCTCCAAATGGATAACTTTTTTTTTCCCTTTGGTAATTAATTGACTGGTGGCCAGCAGCCCATAGGTAGCTTCAGGATGGGGTCTGATCACCACAAAGACCCAGGCAGGATTAGAGGGTTGGGACTTTCCGCCCCCCTACCTCTGGGAAGGAGTGGCTGAAGGTTAAGTTGATCACCAATGGCTAGTGATTTAATCAATCAAGCCTAGGCATTGAAACCTCCACAAAAACCCAGAAGGACAGGATTTGGGAGCTTCTGGAGAGTGAACACGTGGAGGTGTCTGGAGGGTGGTATCCTGGGGCAGGGGGCATGGACGCTCTCCACCCCTCCCCTATCCTTTGCCCTGGGCATCTTTTCACCCATATCCTTTGCCAAATCCTTTATAATAAACCGGTAAATGTGTTTCTGTGACTTCTGTGAGCTACTCCAGAAAATTAATCAAACCCAAAGAGAGGGTTGTGGGGACACCGGCTGGAAGCTGGTGGGACAGAAACTCCAGAGGCTTGGATTTGTGACTGGTGTCTGACAGAGGGACTGTCTTGTGGGACTGTGTCCCCAACCTGCATGATCTGTTTCCAAGTCCACAGTGTCAGAGTTGAATCAGAAGACACCCAGCCGGCGTCTGCTCCAGAACTGGTGGCTTGGTGTACGGGGGAGGGGAGGAAGTCACACAGTTGGTCACAGAAGTCTTCTGTGTTCATTGTTGTGGGGTGAGAGCAGAAGAAAGTTTGCATTTTTTGCATTCAGACCCCATGGGAGGCAGGCTCAGTGGCTCATGCTTGTAATCCCAGCACTTTAGGAGGCAGAGGTGGGCGGATCACCTGAGGTCAGGAGCTAGAGAGCAGCCTGGCTAACATGGCGAAACTCCACCTCGACTAAAAATACAAAAAAATTAGCCAGATGTGGTGGCGGGTGCCTGAAGTCCCAGCTATTCGAGAGGCTGAAGCAGGAGAATCGCTTGAACCCAAGAGGTGGAGGTTGCAGTGAGCCAAGATCTCACCATTGCACTCCAGCCTGGGCAACAGAGCGAGTCTCCGAAAAAACAAAACAAAACAAAAAACAACCCACAGGAGCATTCCCATTATACCAATAAGGGAACTGAGGCAGGCTCCTCCAATGACTTGCCAAAGGTAACACAATTTCTTTCTTTTTTTTTTTTTTTTTTGAGAGGGAGTCTCATTCTGCTGCCCAGGCTGAAGTGCAATGGAAAAGTCTCAGCTTACTGCAACCTCTGCCTCCTAGGCTCAAACGATTCTCCTGCCTCAGCCTCCCAAGTAGCTGGCATTACAGGCATGCGCCACCAAGCCTGACTAATTTTTGTATTTTCATTAGAGACAGGGTTTTACTATGTTGGCCAGGCTGGTCTCGAACTCCTGACCTCAGGTGATCTACCCACCTCGGCCTCCCAAAGTGCTGGGATTAAGGTGTGAACCACCGCGCCTGGCCGGTCACAATTTTTAAGTAGCAAAGCTTGGATTCCAGCTCCGGGCTGTCTGACCTCGATAATGACTCTTTTCATCACTGCCCTGGAGAGCCGTGCCATGGGAACAGAGGTGCAGGGTCCTAAAGTCTGTACCAGTGTCCAAGGCTAAATGGGGATGGGAGGACAGAGGACTGATGTCACAGGAACTCCTATAACACCACAGGGACCTCTGCCCCAAGGGAAGCGGCTGTGGCTCCCACCTGGCCCAGACCTTGGCCTCCTGAGCCTCTGTGAAACAGGGAGTTCTTCCCAAGGAGCGGCCACGGACCACCCAGGAGCCTCAGCTGTTCCCTGGACTGCAGCCCCATTGCCCGCTGAGCCAGCCCCTCCCTTCCCTCTTCTCTCATTACTGTCCTGCTAGGGACTTAGGGTGTCTCAGATGCTTCCAGAAAACCCAACAAAGTGCTGCTTCAGCTGCTGAGAAAGAGCACATATCCAGATACAGAAAATGTACACACAAGCCTTTTGTTTTTTAACTCAAGAAAGGGCTTTTATTGTTTTTAACTCACTTCCTGGGAAGTTAATTTTTAAAACACTCTTATGGAGTTTACTCATTGCTTGTGCTACCCTCAAAAACAATGCCAACCAAAACCCTCCGTGGCAGGGTGAACATCCCAACTGGGCCCACCCCCGAGCTTTCCAAGGGTGGGTCCGATCGGCGCGGTCTCCCGAAACCAGATGCTCACAGAGATGCTCAAGAAACCCCTGTGGCTCAGTGGCTGGCTCTTCACTTGCTCCATGAACTCTATAAAAGTGTTCTTCTAAACAGTAACAACGGCTTTCTAAGCCCTGGGCCACACTGCCTTAGCACAGACGAGCCGGGGAAACGCGGACCCACTGACAAGTGGCCGCATTCTGCTCCCAGCCTGAAACAGATGTGGAAACAGCATTACAGATGCATGGAACGGTGCAAGGCATGCGGGTGCGTTGCGTGCGGCAGAGGGGCACGCACATGCGTGGGCGTGAGGCGACATACACCCACAGGCACGGCGACGCGGTGGCAGCCGGCTTCTCCCCCAGCCAGCCTCCCTTCTCCAAACAAGCCCTCCTCCCATAGGAAACCCACACCTGCACCCAAAAGCCCTTGTCCAGCCCATGTTTCCAGGGCAATGTCCAAGTCCTGTGTGATCTCCCTGGGGGGGTCAACCTCTACGGGCATTTGGTCAGCAAAGACCAAGCCGGCCAGCCGGACGCCGATCCCAGAGAGAAGGTGAAGCCTGCTCTGGAAGAGCTGTGCCTGCTCGAGCGCTCCAGCACCCCCGCTCTGAGCAGGCTGACTGCTGATGTCCTCAGGGTGACGTCCTTGCCACAGAGGCCACCTGCTGGCACGCACACCCCTCCGGGCTGTGTGTCTAGTGATCCCTACAACCTGGACAGCTTGTCCTTCACGGTAGGGCTGTGAGTGCAGCTCTTGGGGCCAGATGGGTGGGCCAGCGTAGGACAGAGACTGGGTTCCAGTCATTTCAGCATGTGCAAGCCCACAGGCCTGTCGAGTCCCCGGCCCTCGGTCAAAGCCGGCCCTGGTGTCTTCTGCAGCCTCAGCTCTGGGGAGCCATCAAGGGAGGGAGGGAGACGGGCGGGGACGACGCTGCACTTCTGCTCCGGTCCTCTGCTCAGAGCCTGACCCCCTTCAGCCCACTTTCCAGATAATGCCGAATACAAAACACAGTCCAGGAAAGTTAGTTCCGTCCGCTCGGCTGCCACATCACGGTGGGTGTGCTGGGAGCCACCAGCGCTGGCGGAACGCTCGTGAGATGCGCCCTAGCAGGCCTCCTCCCCGAACCCCCAGGTTAAAAACAAAAGTAAACGACAACACAAAAGGAACCTGAATTCTCCAACACCGGCCCTCTCCCCAGTGCGGGCTCCGGGCCCCCACACCAGTGTTTGAGTAGACCACAGCCCTGGCGCCACCACCCCAAGGTGGGCGGGGTCCCCCCCACTGTATGCCTGCAGCTGAGCCAGGCCGGCCCGACCCAGCGGGAGGTCTCTTCGGTTGCAGTACGCCAGGCCTCCACCTGCCTTCCCTCACTCGAGTGTCTCCATCCATCCTGACAACACTGGTCACCATTGGTCTCTTGCCTCTGCCTCATGCCCTGGGCCATGCCAACCAGCCGGGTGGGCTTTCTAAAGCTCCATGGGTGCTTGGTTTCCCCACAGAATGGGTCGGGCCAAGGACAGCCAGGAGGAGGGGGAAGGCCTCGTGGGAGCGCTGCCCCAAGACCCCAAATGACATACATTCCAGTCCTGTCCCTGGACGTGCGTGCGTGGAGGTCATGCAGCACGATGGGGGGAGGGGCGGGAGAGGGGCGCAGTCCCTGGCCCCCTGCCCGAGGGGACGGCTGTGGCATGAGGGCGACGGGCCTCTGGAGGCGCAGGATGAGGTGCTGCCGGGCGGCCCTGGGCGCATGCAGGGGCTCAGGAGGCAGCCTCGTCTTCCTGGACGCCGGGGAGCTCTGGGCTCTTGCCCCCTTCGCCACACCCTTCTTTCCTGTTCAGGGGACACCAGGGATGGAGGGACCTCCAGGTCAGAAGATGGCCTCTGAATCCCAAGGGCTCTCAAATCCCCCTTCACCGGCTCCCCATGCTCGGCCTCCCTCTGGCCTCTCTCCATCACAGCAGCTGCTCCCTGCTGGTCTCCCTGCCCCGAGCCTCAGCCACCCCTTGGTGGCTCCCCATTGCCCAGAGATGAAGTAAGTCTAAACCTCGCAGCACAGCCTCCGGAGCCTCTCACAGTCTGAGCCAGCCAACTTCCCTACATCCTCCTATCAGCCTGGCCAAGGGCCTTGTGCGTGTGTGTGTGTGTGGTTTTGTTGTTTTGAGATGGGGTCTCGCTCTGTCGCGCAGGCTGGAGTGCAGTGGCACAATCTCGGCTCATTGCAACCTCCACCTCCCAGGCTCAAGCGATCCTCCCACCTCAGCCTCCTGAGTAGCTAAAACTACAGGCATGCATCACCACGCCCAGCTGATTTTTGTATTTTTTAATAAAGACAGGGTTTCACTAGGTTGCCCAGGCTGGTCTCAAACTCCTGGGCTCAAGTGATCCACCCACCTGGGCCTCCTAATGTGCTGGGATTATAGGTGTGACCATGCTGGCCTGAGGGCCTTCTGTGTCCACCTCAGCCAATGGTAGAGGGACCTTCATTTTGCATTTTTCTTTGCCCTGTTCACAGGACAGAGTCCATCTATCAGTCTTGGGATTCTGTTACATTTCAACAGATTTCTGTTGCTAATTTTCCTCCCAAAATGTCTCTTTTTAAAATAACCAATAAATGGGTTTTGAGATCTCTAAAAAGGACCAACCCCATTTAACTCTACCATAGAGTTTCTACAATTATCCCAAAGTGTAAAAAACAGTCTATGGCCGGTACAGTGGCTCACGCCTGCAATCCCAGCACTTTGGGAGGCTGAGACGGGTGGATCGCCTGAGGTCAGGAGTTCAAGACCTGCCTGGACAACACGGTGAAACCCTGTCTCTACTAAGAATACAAAAATTAGCTGGCATGGTGGTGCGTGCCTGTAATCCCAGCTACTAGGGAGGCTGAGGGAGGAGAATCACTTGAACGCAGAAGGCAGAGGTTGCAGTGAGCCAAGGTCGCGCCATTGCACTCCAGCTTGGGCAGCAAGAGCAAAACACTGTCTCAAAAACAAAACAAAACAAAACATGCCTATCAAGGATAAATATTGGGACTTGATGAGGAGGTAAAATCTGCTTTCAAAGTTAAACCTGGAGGCCGGGTGTGGTGGCTCATGCCTGTAAGCCCAGCATTTTGGGAGGCCGAGGTGGGCAAATGGCTTGAGGCCAGGAGTTCAAGTGCAGCCTGGGTAACATGGCAAGACTCCATTTCTATTAAAATACAAAAATTAGCCAGGTGTGGTGGTGTGTGTTTATAGTCCCAGCTACTCAGGAGGCTGAGATGGGAGGATCAGTGGAGGCTGGGAGGCAGAAGTGAGCCAAGATTGTGCCACTGCACAACATCCTGGGCAACAGAGAGACTCTCTATAAAAAAAAAAAAAAAAAGCTCTACTCTTAATTAAACTTGGGTCACAGAGTATAAAATTTTATAGCTGGAAAGTATCTTGTCATGTTTGCTAGATACTACCTAGGCACTAAATGTCTTTATCCTGTGTCTGGCTTCACCTGCCACTAGGGGGTGCTGGACCACAGGGTCTGAGTCAGAGGGACCAGGTGTCCAGGTTTGCCGGACACAGGCCTGACTCCACCTGTCCTTGCATAATTATTACCACTTTCTTTTTTTTTTCAAGACAGGGTCTGGCTCTGTAACCCAGGCTGGAGTATACTGGTGCAATCTCAGCTCCCTGCAGCCTCCACCTCCCAGACTCAAGCAATCCTCCCACCTCAGCCTCCCAAGTAGGTAGGACTACCAGCGTGCACCATCACACCCAGCTAATTTTTCACTTTTTATTTTTAGCTGTGGGGTCTTGCTATGTTGCCCAGGCTGGTCATGAACTCCGGGACTCAAGCAATCCTGCCTTGGCCTCCCAAAGTGCTGGGATTACAGGCATAAGCCACCATGCTAGCCTAATTATTAATGGCTTCCTCTTTGACTATCAAAAATGTCCCCATTTGGATATCAAATTATATATGCCCCCCACCCCCCGCCACTAAGCACAATCCCAGCATTAGGGGCCTACCTTCCTACATAAGCTCAGAGAATCCGCCCCCAACCCAACCACCTTACTCAGGAGATGTCGGGAAACTGCAGGTGGGACCTCCAGGCCCCTCCCAGGCTCCACACCTCAGGGTGGGCCTCTCTCTGGGTACAAGCAAACTCCAGCAGGAGCAGATGCCAGCCTGGCCACTACGAGGGGGCCTGACACTTCTGAAGAGCCCACTTACGAGAGGGAGATCTCACGGGGAACAAACGTGGTAGTCCCGGACAGGCCCGGAGACAGCGCTCCACTCGGGAAGCCAGGGTTCGTGGGGCAAACGCCTCCTGCCAGCCCCTTCCCCAAAGCTTCTCTCCCGGGCCAGAGGAAGGCAGTGGTGGTCCCAGGACCACACTGTGGTTCAGGACCCCGGGGCGGGTTTCTCTCTGCAGGTTCTGTACAAACTCCAGCATGCCTTCCTTCCTAGCATCCCAGACCGGCTTTTATTACAGTGGACGAAGGTGGAGCTGCTGAGGCCGAGGCGCACAGGTTTGGGGAGCTGCTTTTCTGACCCATCCTAGGAGGAGGTGAACCCACAGGTGTGGTCCACTGTGGGGAGCCCTCAGCAAATGGGGGTTCCTCTCTTGTGGTCTGTCGGCCAGCCTGTCCCTGCTTACTTACTGGACAAGCACTTACAAAGTGCTGACAGAGCACGTAGCCCCAGCGATGGTGTAGGCAGCCTGGGCCACTCAGGACAGGGCCAGGCAGAGAGGCCAGCGCCCCTTCAACAGCCTGCCAGCCTCCTACAGGGAGCCCACATCAGCCTGTCTGCCAACTTCTGCCAGGCTGCCAAGGGCTGAGGGGGCTACAGATTTGAAGCCCCCCTGGACTATGTGTGACATCAAGGTTGATGGAAGAAGGGTCTTCCTGTCCATGGAGGGGAAGTGTGTGAGTGGGGGATGCTGGCCCCAGGGGTGCAGCAGGGCCTGGGCCCCGAAGGTCCTTTAGCCCGGACTAACCTTGGGGACAGAGATGCAATTGGGGCCAACTCCGAGACCTAGCCACCACGTCCCCAGGCTCTGGCCTCAGCCCAGCACTAGTGAGAGAGGGAAGATGGGGCTCCGTCCTCCCCACCGCCCTCCAGGGAGCACCAGAGGCCTCGGCCCACCAGTACTCACAGCAGTAAGTTCCCTGGAGCAGACATGGAACGCTCTTCCCTTCGTGCTTGGGGTTCAAACGGGTTCCCAAAGGAACGCTTCCTCAGCATGGACTTCACCAGGATCTGAGGAGGACACGGCGGTGTGAGAGCACGGCCCCGGCTCCCCGACACGCAGCTCCGCTCTGATTCCCGCCCCCATTTCAATCAGCAGAGCACGGAACGGCAGGGGCAAGGGCACAGAGGGCCGGCAGCTGGCGGCCAGTTCCTGGGATGGCAGGGGCCACTGCTGCATGAGGAGGGGCCGGGGCCGGCCCACGAAGGGTCTGCAGGCCAGGCTGAGGGTGGGGCGGCCAGGGCTGGAAGTGGGAGTCCATTGGAAAATGCCTTCTCCCTATGGTGGCAAGGTGCACGGAGGAGGGGCCATGCCATCCATCCTGCCTTCCCACCGCAGAGGATGCGACCACAGGCTGGGAAGCAGCTGAGCCGCACGATGGCCCAGCCCGTGGGGATGCCTCGAGGGGGGCACCGCCACAGCCTGGCTCTGCCTCTGTCCCTCCTCCATGACAAGGACGGTTCCACGCCCTGCCCGCAGACACGCCGACTCACGCACAAGCAGAGCCAGTGGCACGCTGGCCAGTCCTACCCTCACTCACGTGTCTGCATCCATCCCGGCAACACTGCTCACCACTGGCTGCCTACCGATGCTGGACGCTACGCTAGGCACCGGGGCCGCACGGAGGCCAAACGTCTAGCCCTCATGTAGCTCTTTCTTTTTTTTTTTTTTAAGACAGAGTCTCGCTCTGTCTCCAGGCTGCAATGCAGTGGCTCAATCTTGGCTCACTGCAACCTCCACCTCCTGGGTTCAGGCGATTCTCCTGCCTCAGCCTCCTGGGTAGCTGGGACTACAGGTGTGCACCACAACACCTGGCTAATTTTTTTTTTTCAGTAGAGACGGGGTTTCACTTTGTTGGCCAGGATGGTCTCGATCTCCTGACTTTGTGATCTGCCCACCTTGGTCTCCCAAAGTGCTGGGATTATAGGCGTGAGCCACTGCACCTGGCCATAGCTTTCTTTTTTTGTATGTGTGAAAGAGTTTTGCTCTGTCGCCCAGGCTGGAGTGCAGTGGCACGCTCAGCTCACTGCAACCTCTGCCTCTCAGGTTCAAAGGATCCTTCCGCCTCAGCCTCCTGAGTAGCTGAGATTACAGAAGCCCATCACCACATCAGGCTAATTTTTTGTATTTTTAGTAGAGACAGGGTTTCACCATGTTGGCCAGGCTGGTCTCGAACTCCTGACCTCAGGTGATCTGCCCGCCTTGGCCTCCCAAAGTGTTGGGATTACAGGCGTCAGCCAGCGCGCCTGGCCATCATGTAGCTTATATTCTAGTTGGGAAGACAGGCAAGAAGTAAAGACGACAAATCAATAAAACATGTATGTTAGCAAGTGGAAAGGAAAAAATAAAACCAGGGAATGGCGATGAAGTGACACAGGGAGGGAAGCTACAGGGTCAGGAAGGCTGGCTTCTCCCTCAAAGCTGAAGGAAGAAGGGCAGCACGTCCTGGGGCCGACCGGAGCGGCGCTCCCCAGGCAGAGGGGAGTGAAAGCTGAAAGCTCTCGGCAGCCCCTTCCGTGGCACATGGCCAGAGCCGAGTGCATGCTGGGGGACACTGGAGGAGCCCCGCAGAAAAACAGGGTGGGGGGGCAGGCCGGGAGTCCGACTCTGAGGGACACAGGAGTCCGAGTGAGAAGCAGGCTCTGAGCTGACAGGTGACACTCACGCCACCAGGACCATGCTGGCTGCTGAGTTGAGCATTAACGGGGGTACAGGAGCGAGAGTAGAGGCAGAGGACAGTATGAGAGGCTCTTCCAGTGTCTGGGGGAGAGGCGAGGCTGGCTAAGACCAGGGACGTGGCCATGGGGACCCTGTGGGAGCTGCCTGGCTCCAGGGACCCCACAGAGCCAAGTAAGCATACGGGGCAGGGATTCAGCCAGCTGATCCTAGCTGGGCCAGGACCCTGCAAGGGGGGGTGATGGGGGTGGGGACAAAGGCCCCACCCACAGCAACAGCTTCCCCGGCCCTCGTTCCTGGCCTTGTGCTTGCCCTGACTCACTCTCAGGCAGGGGCAGGGCAGGACACTCAGTGGCCCTGACGGCCACCAGGGACAACATGAATCACTTCCAAGTGCCAACACGGAAGCTGAGCAGAGGAAGAGGAGCAAAGCTGAAACAGGAGTGGGCCCGCAGGCTGCTCTAACTGACTCGAGGGCTCTGGGGGGGATGCAGGCTCTGACACACAGGCTCTGCAGGAGATGCAGGCTCTGTATAGCTGACACTCAGGCTCTGGGGAGGATGCAGGCTCTGTCTAACTGACACTCAGGCTCTGGGGAGGATGCAGGCTCTGTCTAACTGACACGAAGGCTCTGCAGAAGATGCAGGCGCCGTCTAACTGACACTCAGGCTCTCGGGAGGGATGCAGGCTCTGTCTAACTGATATGCGAGCTCTGCAGGAGATGCAAGCTCCATCTAACTGACACGTGGGTTCTGGGGGGGGATGCAGGCTCCATCTAACTGACACTCAGGCTCTAGGGGGGACGCAGGCTCTGTCTAACTGACACTCAGGCTCTGGGCGGATGCAGGCTTCGTGTAATTGACACGAAGGCTCTGCAGGAGATGCATGTGCCATCTGACAGTCAGGCTCTGGGGGGGATGCAGGCTCTGTCTAACTGACACTCGGGCTCCAATCCGAAGGCTGCCCAGGCTGTTCCCCTGCCGTGTCCTCAGCACCTGGTGCAGTGCATGGAGAACGGGGTTCAGTAACCGTCTGGAAGGAAGGGGACGCTTTATCCAGTCATGGTGACTATTGTCATTCAGCAAAGGCTGTCTATTTCTTTTTCTTTTTTTTTTGAGATGGAGTCTCTTTCTGTTGCCCAGGCTGGAGTGCAATGGCGTGATCTCAGCTCATTGCAACCTCTGCCTTCCGGTTCAAGTGATTCTCCTGCCTCAGCCTCCTGAGCAGCTGGAATTACAGGTGCCTGCCACCATACCCAGTTAATTTTTTTGTATTTTTAGTAGATACAGGGTTTCACCATGTTGGCCAGGCTGACCTCAAACTCCTGACCTCAGGTGATCCCAAAGTGCTAGGATCACAGGTGTGAGGCACCGTGCCCAGTATTTATTTAAATCAGTCACTCTCCCCACCAAGCCCCCTGATCTCCCTACCACAAGACCGCCTCCTCCATGGGCCTGCAGCAGAATGGCATTTCCAGTGCCCCGGATCACAGCCGGCTGGCCAGGCAGGCCTCTGTGCCCCCACAGGACCAGGCATATAGCAAGGCTCAGGCCCCCGAGGCCTACCAGGACAAGGGATCATCCACCTAGCCCTCTTACCACGGTGGTCCAGCTGGGGATGAGCCTGACGGAGTTCTTCACCTCCTCCTCCGTCACCTCCACCACACTGCAGTGCTCCTCCTCCGAGGGCAGGGGCTCCTCCCCGTTCTTGGTCACCCAAGGGTGCAACTGTAGGGGCCGAGAGGGCAGGGAGAGGGGAGAGGTCAGGCCATAGGCAGACAGTCAATCAGCAAAGGACTCCAGGCTTTTTACCAGAATCACCTGGAGGGATGCCAAGTCCACAGACCCAAACCCCACCCACATGCTTCCTGGCGTAGAGCTCTCCAGAAGGGGAAACTGACGCCTGCTTTCTGTGTCCCAGCCCAGCCCAGGACCTCCAGTTCCCTGACCTTGATGTCTGGCACCCCAATCCTTGTCTCGGGATTCTTGTCCAGCATCTTCAGGATTAGGTCCTTGAGCTCCTCGCTGATCTTGGGCCTGGAGAGGGCGGAGGAAGGAGAGAGTGGGCGTGCTGATGGGAACCCTTCCTGTCCACCTCTCCTCCCCAGACCCTCGTCCCTTGGACGGGAAGACTGAGTTCATATGATAAGTGCTTGGAAAGCCTTTCCTGAGCAGGGGGAAACGTTTCCCTCCAGGACAGGGGCACAAACAGACTTCCATGTGTGCTGGACACCCCGCTGGGCGGCAGAATGGTGAGGAGAGTCACTTCATGAGACCTCAGGGCCTTCGGTTCCACTCACCACCTCATCCTTTTCTACACCCAGGGAAGACCCTCTCTCATTTCAGAGGAGGAAGCAGAGGCCCACGGAGGTTAGCAGGCTCGCACAGTGCCACCCAGAAGAGGGTAGGCAGAGACGGGAGACTCGCGGGGGGGGAACAGTCCCCTCAGTGCCCCCTCAGCCCGAACTCTCTCTGCCCAGACCCCAGGCTTCTTTGGCACCAATGGTCTTGGGGAGCCTATCCTTCCAGGTCTGGGGAGCAGAAGCCCCTCTTGGGACTGTTGACTTCGGTTCCTCCTATTGTCTTAGATGCATCATCCCTTTTAAAATTCCTGAGCTGGGGAGAAAGACCTCCCTGGCAGGGGGCAGAGGAGGAAGAGAGGTACCCAGGTACCACTGTGGAGGCCGGGAGGGAAGCCAATCAAAGGGTGAGGAGGAAAGGGACAGAAGCCAGCTGGCTGGTGCTTGGAAAAGGGAGTGACACCCCAGGTGAGCAGATAGCAGAATCCGAAATGCTTGAACGCCAGGGCCAGGGCATGGCCTCCATCCTGCAGGCTTGGAGAAGCCCCAGACAAACTTCAGGCAGGAGATGCAGGCAGGTGTGTGGGCAGGAGATGCAGGCAGGTGTGGGGGCAGGCGTGTGGGCAGGAGATGCAGGCAGGTGTGGGGGCAGGTGCGTGGGCAGGAGATGCGGGCAGGCCTGTGGGCAGGACATGCCGACAGAAGAGGCAGGCAGCTGTGAGAGAAGGAGATGCGGGCAGGTGTGCGGACAGGAGATGCGGGCAGCTGTGCGGGCAGGTGTGCGGGCAGGAGATGCGGGCAGGAGATGTGGGCAGGTGTGCGGGCAGGAGATGGGGCAGGTGTGAGGGCAGGAGATGTGGGCAGGAGATGTGGGCAGGTGTGCGGGCAGGAGATGGGGCAGGTGTGAGGGCAGGAGATGTGGGCAGGAGATGTGGGCAGGTGTGCAGGCAGGAGATGTGGGCAGGAGATGCGGGCAGGAGATGCGGGCAGGTGTGTGGGCAGGAGATGCGGGCAGGTGTGTGGGCAGGAGATGTGGGCAGGTGTGTGGGCAGGAGATGCGGGCAGGTGTGTGGGCAGGAGATGCGGGCAGGTGTGTGGGCAGGAGATGCGGGCAGGTGTGTGGGCAGGTGCGCGGGCAGGTGTGTGGGCAGGAGATGCGGGTAGGAGATGCGGGCAGGTGTGCGGGCAGGTGTGCAGGCATGTGTGTGGGCAGGAGATGAGGGCAGGAGATGCGGGCAGGTGTGCGGGCAGGTGTGCAGGCAGGAGATGCGGGCAGGAGATGCGGGCAGGTGTGCAGGCAGATGCGGGCAGGAGATGCGGGCAGGTGTGCAGGCAGGAGATGCAGGCTGATGTGCGGGCAGGTGCGTTGTGCCTTGTGTACCAGGGCTGCCCCCGCCTGACTGTGTTGGCTGGACTGGAGGCCAGCGGCAGGGAGACCAGGGTAGGGCGTGGTGAGACAAGTCTGGGAGGAGCCTGAGCCCTGAATGAGGCACGGAGTGCAGGCGGCAATAGCGCACAGAGATGGGGAAGAGGAGGACTCAAGGAGGCCTGGGGACCACAAAGGAAAGGAGCAGGTGTCACTGAGGACAAGGTCCATTCAGTTTCCTTATTTTTTGTGAAACAGAGTCTCACTCTGTCTCCCAGGCTGGAGTGCCGTGGTGCAATCTCAGCTCACTACAACCTCTGCCTCCCAGGTTCAAGTAATTCTGGTGCCTCAGCCTCCTGAATAACTGGGACTACAGAAACGCGCCACCACGCCGGCTAATTTTTGTATTCTTAGTAGAGACAGGGTTTTGCCATGTTGGCCAGGCTGGTCTCAAACTCCTGACCTTGGGTGATCCACCCGCCTCGGCCTTCCAAAGTGCTGGGATTACAGGTGTGAGCCACCGTGCCCAGCCTTCATTTCACTCCTGAAATGCACTCCTGAAGAGGAGACAGGGAGCTCAGGCTCCTCCATCAGGAGGTGAACCACACAGGAGCAGGAGGCCTCCCAGCCTGCCCGCCAGGCCAGAGACCTCAGTCACAATGGAGGAGTGGGGAGGAAGGTGGCTTGAGTCCCAGCCCCTGACAGCTCTCCTCCAGAGCGTCCTCTTTTCCATCTGTGAAATGGGGGACGCGCTAGCATCCCGAAGCTCCCTGACCCTGAGTGGGGGAAGAAGTTCCCCTGGAGTCCAGGGGCTGGGTGGGTGGTGCCACTGACCCCGGGCAGGCCTGCGATGGAGTGGTGGGAGCGATGCCTGTGGTCATCCCCGGCCAACGCTGGAACTCAGGGCTCCCATCCATACAGTGGTGTCTTGGAGACCCTTGGCTCGATTCCCACCCCTCCATCTTCTCAGGGGTCCCCTCCCAGGGAACCACATCGCCACCTTCATATCTGAGGCTGGGGTCCTCAAAGGGCAAAAGCTCCGCTAAAACCCAAACACCAGGGGTGGGTGGTGGCCCCCTTGGTCCCCTGGGTGGACAACTCACTCCTCCGGAAACACCACGGGCTCATTCTTGATCTTCCTGTGGAGCGCCAGGATGTAATCGTCAATGAACGGGCACTGCGGGGTGGAGAGGCAAAGGAGGTGGGCCCGGGGCCTTGATGCGTGCCAGGGGACCAGCCCCCGCCCCTTGGTGGGGCCGGGACAGGGGCAGCTCTGGGCTCCCAATGACATGAGAAGGACCTCAATTCATTTTCTCAGGGCCCGGCACACTGCAAACATGCCACAGATGTTGACCGAATGAATAAGTCATGGGGAATGAGGAGACTGGGTGCATTCATCGCCATGACAGCCACCTGCAGCTGGGCCTCCGCTCCCAGGGCCACTGAAATGCCCTCCTGCCCCTTAGTGCGGTCACCAGAGCAGGAGCACCTGCGGGCTGGGATCTCGGTCACGCCAGCGCTGGGTGTCCCCAGGGTTCCACCTCAGCCGGGGTAGAAGTGAAGGACAATTGGTTGAATGAATGAGCAACAGAGTGAACGCGTGACTCAATGAATGAATGGCATCAAGGGACAGAGGGACGGGAGCACTCTGGCTGGGGAGGTGGCAAAACCATCAACACCTCCCCTTGGGTGCCTGCCGTCCTGGGACTTCCCTCGAATCCCTCCGCAGGGGATGGGAGAAAGACAGAAAAAGACAGAAAAAGCCTCTTCTCTCTCAGGTTTCTCTGAGCCAGGTGGGCCCTTTCAAAAGCCACTTTGCTTAAGGACAGAAAGGAAGGGCCTGCGTCCGTCACCCATGCCCGCCCCACTGGACCTGCCCCAGCTCTGCTGGCATCCCCGGCACTCACCTTCCCATAGACAAAGCAGTACAACGTGACGCCGGTGGCCCACACGTCCAAGGCCTGGAAAGAAACATGTTCACATCAGTCCCCAACAGGCACCGCTGCCTCTGCCCACCCAGCTCCAGTGGGCTGTGGGAGAGGCCCGCAGGGAACCTCTTTCCTCTGTCATGTATTCACTCACAAACACGCCCCGGTGCCTCCTCCACGCTGGGCGATGTGCTGAGTGCTGAGGACACAGGGCCGGCCAGAACAGGGACTCCACCCTCCAGGAGCCCTGAGTCTCCTTGGGACAGGCTCAACCAGGTACATTTCCAAACCAACAGGTACAAAACCTCCTTCATCCACAGGGTCACATGTGCCACCCCAGGAATGATGGTATATATGGAACTTCTGCTGAATAAACCAGCTCAGGCTTGTAGAAGTCACCCTTCTCCTGACAATCCACCTTCTTCCTGATACTGCGAGCAGTCCCTGCCCACACAGAGGCCCTGCCCACTCACTCCCTTGCCCACGGCCACTGCAACAACTCCTCCCGGCTCCCAAGCACCCCTGGGCTTCCCCACGGCCTGGATTCCAATTCTTAGTGTGCTCTCTCTACCTTCTCCTGCTCTGGGACGTCACCTCTTCTGGTATCCACTTTCTCGCTTACGTGAGTGATTCACAAATCTCTACCGACACGTTCCTGCCCCAGATGCATCATCTAAATCCAATCAGGGAACATCCAACAGACAAATGCAAACTGACAACATTCTACAAACTAACAGGCTTGTTCTCTTCAAAATGGCAAGGTCAGGAAAGGCAAAGGAAGGCCAAGGCGTTCTTCCAGATCAAAGGGCAGCAAGGACAAGAAAGAGAACGGAGGATGGGTCCCTGGACCCGAGACAGATAAAGTTCCGAAGGACAGTATCAGGACAACAGAGAGTGTTTAAATAAGGTCTGTGGATTATATATGTATTTTTTTTTCCAGACGGAGTCTCATTTTGTTGCCCAGGCTGGAGAGCAATGGCGCGATCTCAGCTCACTGCAATCACCGCCTCCTGGGTTCAAGCAATTCTCCTGCCTCGGCCTCTCAAGTAGCTGGAATTACAGGTGTCTGCCACCACGTCCAGCTAATTTTTTTTCTTTTTTTTGAGATGGAGTCTTGCTTTGTCACCAGGCTGGAGTGCAGTGACGGATCTTGGCTTACTGCAACCTCCGCCTCCTGGGTTCAAGCGATTGTTCTGCCTCGGCCTCCCTAGTAGCTGGGACAACAGGCGCGCGCCACCATGCTTGGCTATTATTTTTTGTATTTTTAGTAGAGATGGGTTTCACCATATTGGACCGGCTGGTCTGGAATTCCTGACCTTGTGATCCGCCCGCCTCGGCCTCCCAAAGTGCTGGGATTACAGGCACGAGCCACCGCGCCTGGCTAATTTTTGTATTTTTTAGTAGAGACAGGGTTTTGCCATGTTGGCCAGGCTGGTCTTGAACTCCTGACTTCAGGTGGTCCACCGGCTTTGGCCTCCCAAAGGGCTGGGATTACAGGTGTGAACCACCATGCCCGGCCTATATTTAAAACTTATCAATGACGACTTTCCTAGTTTTAATCACTGTTCTGAGGTTATGTAAGAGAATGTCCCTGTTCTTAGGAAATAGCCACTGAAGTGTTTAGTGATAAAGGTGCATAACACCCTCCACGTACCTTTCAAATGGCTCAGAAAGAGGCAGTATGCGTGCAGATAAAGAGAAAAAGATGACAAGAGAGCAAACGGGACAAAAGGTCAACAACCGGTGAATCTGGGTAAAAAGATATGTGGGGTTTCTTTGTACTGTTCTTCCAGCTTTTCTATAAATGTAGAATTAGATCAAAATAAAACAGTTCAAAAAGTCTTTATCAACATCCCCAACCTCTTTTTTCCTTTCATTTTTAGAGACAAGGTCTCACTCAGTCACTCAGGCTGGAGTGCAGTGGCACGATCACAGCGCTGTGATCGTGCCACTGCACTGCAGCCCCCAGCTCCTGGACACGAGTGGTCCTCCCACCTCCGCCTCCCGAGTAACTGGGACTACAGGCATGCACCACCACCCTTGGCTAATTTTTTTGTAGAAGTGGGGTCTTGCTATGTTGTCCAGGCTTATCTCAAATTCCCAGCCTTAAGAGCCCCATCTCTGCCTCCGAAAGCACTGCGATTACAGGCACGAGCCACTGTGCCTGGCCTCCTGAGCTCTTTCCTGGACACTCAACACGTGTCCAAATGCCACTCAGCCACAGCCTCCCTGGCGGCGGGGTGGTTGGCACCCCACAGATGAAAACAGTCATGTGCCCAGGAAATTACGCCAGACTGTGTAACCTTTTGTTCAGACAACTCTGCCTATGTTTCTGCCGCTTAGGAGAAAGCCCAGACTGCCAGGCCCTCTACCCTCTGCCCCCACCCCGTACCCCTCTGTTCTCTGGTTTATTCTCTGGGTTCCAGGTCCTGCTCAGATCCTCCCCATTCTTCAAGGGCCAGTTCAAACCCTGCCATGTCCAAGATCTGCAGGGGGCCTCCAACTTCCCCCTAAACCAACCGGAGGGCAGGAAACAGGCTTCTCTTTGGCTCTGCCTGTTCCGCAGCCCAGTCCAGAACCCTGCACAGAGCAACCGACAGGAAATATCTGCAAGGGAGATTTGGGGCCGCTTTTATGGAAAACAGGAGAAGGTCAAAGGCGAGGAGTTTATCAGGCTCCAAGAAGAGGCAACTGTGTCACTCCCTAGGCACAAGGACCCTGGCACTCTCCGGTGGGAAATGGGGTCCCTGCACCAAGCTACCACGCCCCTCCACCTGCAACCCAGCCTGGCCCAGGACCTGAGAGTCACCTTCCCACTGAAGCTCTGGCCGGAGTCAGAAATGGCCTCGGGGGCCATGAAGGCTGGCGTCCCAGCCGTGCTGGACAGCTGAGCGTCGTTCCCCTCAAACTGGTTGCTGACGCCGAAGTCAGCGATCTTCACGTGCCCATCGTCCCCCAGGAGCAGGTTGGACGGCTTGATGTCCCTGTGGACGATCTTCTGGCAGTGCACTGCAGAGAAAGGGGGCTTGATCCGCGCGCTGGCCTGGGCACGGATGTCCGGGAGCCCACGCCTGTCCTCGCCCAGCCAGGGACACCCCAGCCTATGCATGCTTTCGTCTTGGTGACGAACCAGGAAGAGGACGTCAGGGCCATCCACTCCATGCAGGTGAGGACACTCAGCCCAGGCTGTGAGCAGCAGAGCCAGGACAGGAACCTTAGGAGTCTGGACTCCTCTCTGCCCTCTCCATGAAAAACGAGCTGCCTGTTGCCGAGCGGGCAGGTCACAGGAAACTAGGGCAGAAGACTTCTTTTTTTTTTTTTTTTGAGACAGAGTCTCGCTCTATTGCCCAGGCTGGAGTGCAATGGCGCCATCTCGGCTCACTGCAACCTCTGCCTCCCAGGATCAAGCGATTCTCCTGCCTCAGCCTCCCAAGTAGCTGGGATTACAGGCATACGCCACCATGCCCAGATAATTTTTGTATTTTTAGCAGAGACAGGGTTTCACCATGTTGGCCAGGCTGGTCTGGAACTCCTGACCTCAGGTGATCCACCCACCTCAGCCTCCCAGAGGGCTGGGATTCCAGGCGTGTGCCGCCGGCGTGCCAGGACGGGAGGAGACTTCTTCCTAGCCCAGCTCTGCCCCTTCCCTGTGAGTGCTGTCTGGAGGCACAAAGCCCACCGAAACCTTTCTCCAGTTCCAACCCCACCCAGTCGAGTCAACAATGTCCCTGGCTGCTGGGACTGAGAGTAAGATTGTAGGGATTGTGCTATCCTACAGAGGTACGATCTCAGCCCTCAGGATCAGAGCTGATGGGGTTTCAGAGACACTGGCACCCCAGGCCTTGAGGCTAGCAGATGGCACAGCTGGGGTATAAGGCCAGCCATGTCTAGTAGGATGAAGCCAGAATCAGAAATGACTCAGTAGGTGGAGGCCTGCCCCGCTTCCTGGGTCAAACACCACCAGGAAGTCACGAGTGGCTCAGGCTGAGATGGCCAGAAAGGTCCCAGCCAAGAGAGACACTGACCCCATCCCATGACCATCCACTTGCGGGCTCCCTCCTTGGCAAACACCTTCCCTTCCCCTGGACCAATGGACCCCAGGATGCTAGAGAAGAGGAAAGAGAGGAGAGAGAAGACAGGGGAAGGGAGAGGAGGAGAGGGAGGCTGGGGGCAGAGAGGGCACCAGTGGCATTTTCTTGATGGCCTACTATGTGCCAGGCACACACAAGGAATCAGACGCACAGCCATCAGGGCACAGCAGCTCAGCGGCTGGATGTTTGGCCATGGATCTCATGCCCTCATCTCAAGTCCCAGCCTCTCCCTTGAACTCCAGGCTCGTAATTACCCACATGGATTTCCAGTAGACATCTCGTTAGATAGCTTGGCAGCTGGCATCAACATATGTCCCTATGCATCTGACTGTAGTCAGTAACGTGTCTAATTCACAACTCGATTACTCTGCCTGCAACTCCTGCCACCCACAAAAACAAACAACAAAACAAAAAGCCCTGCTGCTCCCCAGTCCTTCTCACTCTGTGAAAGGCCAAAACCCTCAGGATCATCCTCAGTTCCTCCTCTGAGACCCCACCCCCCATTCAGGGGCGAGGTCTGTGAGCCCAGCCTCTCACATCTATCCCAGACCCAACTGCTTCTCATCACCTGCGTTGCCGCCCCTACCCACATCAACTGAGAGCCAGGTCTGGGCCTCCCTGACCCCTAGGCCCTCTCAGGGCAGCCTCCACTCTCCCTTCTTGGAGCCAGAAGCACAAGGCAGGTCTCCAGTGCCCTGCGCCTCTGTTCATCCACCTGCCAGCCCCTGGCACTAACCGCTCTGCTCCAGGAAAGCCCTTCACTGTGATGAGCTGGGTCCTGATGAGGCTTTACCCAAGAACCAGGGAAGATAAACTCGTTTCTTTGTGGTGGCTAGGGGACAGCAGACCGCAGGACTTCAGCTGGAAAGAAGGGCCTAGAACAGGAAGTGGTGGAGCCAGGCTGGTACAGGACTGCGCCTGTCGCTGACCATAACAGGAGTAAAATATCTTCTTCCTATCCCATGCCTCTAGGCCCTTGGGAGGGACTTTTTGCAAAGCCCTCACTTCTGTGTGCCTCAGTTTCCCCATATGTGCAAAGAGAATCTAAATCTGAAGGCACAGGAGAGGACTGAGCAGGATAAAGACAGTCCTGTTTCTGTCACTGCAGGTCAAACCTCAGCCGGATCCTCACCCTGTTCCCCTAGGGAAAAAATATGCTCCCCAGAAACCAAACTAAAATTTTATTTTATATTTTTAAATTAATTAATTAATTAATTTGGAGATGGAGTTTCACTCTTGTTGCCCAGGTTGGAGTGCAGTGGTGCGATCTCAGCTCATGGCAACCTCTACCTCCCAGGTCCAAGCGATTCTCCTGCCTCAGCCTCTGGAGTACCTGGGATTACAGGCCCCTGCCGCCACGCCTGGCTAATTTTGTATTTTTAGTAGAGATGGGGTTTGGGTTTTCACCATGTTGGCCAGGCTGGTCTCAAACCCCTGACCTCAGGTGATCCACCCGTCTCAGCCTCCCAAAGTGCTGGGATTACAGGCGTGAGCCACCGCGCCCGGCCCAAGCTAAGATTTTAGAGATGGGCATCTCCCCTGGTCCCCAACCCAGGCCAGGACCCTAGGTGTCCGAGGGCTCCCCCTCCCCAGGCCAGCCAGTCACCCCATGCTGACCACCCTACCTCCTTCCTGGCCCCACCCCACTGCCACTGCCCTAATCCAGGCCTCACCATCTGTCACTCGGGCTGCAGAAACAGCCTCCTCCCTGGCCAGCTGGCTGCCTCTCACCCTCCGATGACACCCTCCAATCCAGCCACCACACAGCTGCCAGACAGGGCTTTCTCAGGCGCAAATCCCATCACGCTCCTCCCCTGCTCAAAGCTTTCCGGGCCTCACAGCGCTGGCAGGATGAAGTCATGAAAGACCTCAGGGGAGGCTCCCCAGCCCTCAGGCTGCAGCCTGGAACAGGTTTCCAGCACCTTCTTTCACTAACCACAGCCGTGCTCTGCCCACTGGAGGCTTCAGCCAGACTGAACTTCTCCCCAGACTCCAAGAGTGCGAGACTATGCCTGGCGCACTCTCTCCTACCCCCACCCCTCAAAACCTGACCAGGGAACTCTACTCGTCCCTCAGGACCCTAGTCCTAAGTAGCCTCTTCCAGGGAGCCTTCCCCAACCCCCTGGCACTCCAACGGCCTGCAGGCTCCACTGTATTATCTGCCTGCCAAGATTCCTGTCCCTCTCGCTAGGCTGTGAGGTCGGGTCTTTGCTCCCAGCCAAGTGAATGCAGCAAATGAGTGAAATGAGACAGAGGCTAAGCTCACATCACCCTCCTGAGCTCTCATCAGCCTAGGGCTCCTGATGGTTAAACCCGCCCTGTCACCGTGCCCTGGCCCCTGGCCAGGACAGACTCTCCCCCAGAAGCTGGACATAAATCCCTCCCTTCCCATATCGCTTGAGGCCCCGTGGCGAGGCTAAGCTAGGCTAAGAACTCAGCAGAAGAAAGATACAGACAGAACACCCAGGACTCAGACCGACAGGACCAGATCCTGCGATGGATCTGGCGCATGTCCAGTGAAGTCCACCGCTCCCACC